TTTTTTTTTTTAATCCTCGGACTAAAATATCCCCATCATCTTCATCTACACGTTTAACTAAACATACATACTTAAAATGTTGTTTCTTACGGTTCCCTCCAATAAAATCTTTTAAAAGAAATACTCCAGGTTTTATTTGAGACCAAATTGGTGTATTGTATAAAACTTCTTCAATACTTAAATCTAATGAATTATCATTACAATCATCTCCTGATGAATGATAAACTCATCATCAATATTATCAATTGATTGTTCCAACACAATATTTTGTACATTGTTGTATTTAATATGGAACAATCATTTTGTTCTAACTTATAGTTATAGTAGTTCAATAATAACGCAAAATGTAGTTAATAAAGATATAATCAATCAAAATAAAACATATAAAATATTGATACACTTAAAACAGAATAAATAAATAATACACAAAATGAAAACTTAAAGTCACAAACGTACCACGTGGAAAGAGATTACCTTCGGTACTCCCGATGTCTTCTCTCTCTCCTTTCAATTCATGCCATATCATCTTATATACTAACATATTTTGTTTTTCTTTTTATAAAATTCATATAGTAATCATTTTCAAAAATGTTTATAAATATTTACTTCCTGATCTAGTAACAATAATTCGGGAATTACAATTAATCTAAACATTACAAAAGTGTTCTACTTCTAGGTTTACAAATAATAGACTAATTATAGAATAATCATATTTTTGTAATAATAGATCAAGAAATTCATAGTTAAACCAAACATTACAAAAATGTTTTGTTTTCAGTTTTACAAAATAAATGACCTATATTACACTCCCCTATGTTAAAGTAAAAAATATGCCCTCATATATTAAATTAGTAAATTTCCATAATAAAGGATAAAAAGGAGGGAAAGAGAAAAAAAAATTGGAATTTTTGTGTAGTGTAAGTTAAATATATCTTTAAGACAATGAATTGAACATTTTTTTTTATGTGTTTACTGTTAATCTAGTATCTTATTTGACATTAATAAACACGTTCACTTCTTTACATGTCATTTTATTATTAACATTCATGTATATCGTTTATTTGTAATCGATTTATTTTTTAACTTTTTTTTTTTTTATAGAGAATAGGAAATTATTGGACTGATTTATGAAAATTTACTTTTTATTTAATTACAATCATTATAATAATAATTTTAAATTCAAAGTTATTTTATTATTATTGTTATGTATATGCAATTATATATTTTTCTAAATTTATCTGAAAGGGTACAAGATTAAGTCAAAGATACAATAATATTAAAAATATTTAGCAGTTTAATTTTGATAAATGAAGTGTAGAGTTGGTTATATGACATCCATTTTATTATTATTCTTTCCTTGTGTGGTTTCCATTTCCGCTTTGTCGAGTCTCTTTCCAAGAGATATAAATGATATCTGTTCACTTAATTTTTTTATCTCACGTTTGCAAGATAAATCTCTTTCCTTTAGTTGTATTTTTAAATTTTTAATATCCTCATCTCTAGCTTTAGAATATTTATCTAATTGGGTAACCTGTTGATTTAAAATGTCAGTATAATCACTAAAAGATGGTCCTCTATTATTTTGTAACGTGACAAAATGTGAATTTTATGATATAGATAGATTACTGTTTTGCTTTGCTAATGGGCGCGCGTACGTTATATCCGGCCGTGTAATCAGAAAACTGTACTGTTGCTGTCAAGGTGAACGCTATACACACAATATTCTTTATCAGTTTAACAATCGTTCCCTATATGACACATACACTGGCCACCACTGTCCATACCTGTATAACTCTAATATTGTTCATATTTTTATCTGTTGTATATTTTGTAAATCGTTAAGCCGA